TTCCTCCCTCCTCCCTCCTCCCTCCTCCCTCCTCCCTCCTCCTCCTTATCCTCCTCCCTCCTCCTCGTCCTCCTCCTCCTCCTCCCCCAGCCGTTCTGGCACAAGTTTTGTGCTTGTTGACGCCAACTTCAGAGCGGCACACTGCGTCAACGGGCCTTCTGGCTCTGGATTTCTCAGTGATTGACTTGGGGTGTATGACACCCCCGCCTGCTTTGCGCAATGGTAGTGCTAAAGGTGTCGGGCGTGGCAAAGGACGTGGTCGTGGTGACTGGTCCAGCGGCACGGCCGCCCCCCCGTGGCACTACGGCGCCTACATGTACTCGGACAACAGTTCAGAAGGATAGTCCAAGTTCAAGTGCAGCTCCTGTGGCTGTGCGAAGGGCCCTCAGGCGGCCCGCTACTGCAAGCATTGTGGGACTCTTCTTGCTGCTGTGCGTCCAGTCGAAGGTGGAGCCCCACCGAGTGGGGCGTGGTCGCAGGCCCCTCCTGGCGCATTCTCCGCGGCACCTTGGGCCATGCGTTATCGTCCCTACCCTGGGCCCCCTGGAGGTCCTGGACAACCCGTTGGAGCTGGGTACGGAGGTGGGCATCCTGGAGGCGCCACCACCAAGGCACCTCCTCTCCCCGTCGGGCCCCAGAGCCAGCTCAACGCGAATGAGGCAAAGCAGCTGGCAGATCTCGCGCGGAAAGGAGGGGACCTTACCACTGCGTCCAAGTATGAGGCAGAGTTCAAGAAGCTGCACGCAATGGAGTCGCCCAAGCCCCCCACTCCCCTCCACCAGCGAGTGCAGCAGCAGTTCGCCGCTGTGGGTCGACTGGAGAAGGCGCTGGACAAGGAGGTGGACAAGCTTTTGGGCTGGAGGAACGACATCGCCAAGCTCGAGGACACGGCGCGGAGCATGCGTGAAGAGTTGGCCACAGCCGATCAGCAGTACAAGGCTCTGGTGGCCGAGTTGCAGCAGCAGGCGTCTGTTGCCCCCGTCCCCGTTGTGCCGGCCCCTGCCAAGCTCAAGTTGGAAGACCTGTGCGCTGACACATTCGACCTGGGCGCATTCATCGCAGTGGACGAGGTCAGTTTCTTCGAGGGCGACGCCGGGCTTGAGGATAAGGATCGCGAAGAGATCGCTAAGAGGAAGGACGACCTCAACGCTGGCGTCTCCAAGCTCGCCAAGGACCTGCTGGGCCCCCTGGTGGTCGCTGCCAAAGCGGCCCGAGATGCGCATCGTGAGCACCTGGCTCGGGCTGCCAGCAAGTGGCGGCGCGCTGACCAGGGAGCGGCGGCAGGGGGAGATGCTGGAGCTGAGGATGAGCTGCGTGAGGCACCTGCCGCTGGCCCTGCCACGGCGGCCGCTGAGGCCGCCCCAGCTGGTGGTGGAACCCCAGCAGCAGACGATGCGCGGGCTAAGGCAGAGAAGGCCCTTCAATCTCCCCCCCCCCCCGCCCCTGGCGGGGTGGGGGGAGGAACCACCGCCTAGCCTGGCCACACATCCACGCATGCATGCGTCTGCCAGTTCCAGCGCTCTCACGGTGAGCGCCCAGGGGTGTTTTCATTGCCCGTCCCCAACTTTTGATTCGGATCGTTGCGAAATCCATGGTCTCAGAGCGCATTCTCTTTCTGGGTCGTTCCAAGATAGCGTCGACGGAGTGTGCAGCTCCTTCGATGCTCGATGGGCAGACGCCCTCCAGTGTTTCTATATGGCGCAAGCTGTAGAGGCCACTCTTGCCGAGACGGACAGAGCCTGTCCCCGACAGGCCGTTGGCGGCCACCACCCTCGGCATCGGCAAGGTCCTCCTGGTTTTTTTCGGCTCCAAGGGCCATGAAGCTGTTACCAAGGCCGCGCCAGGCCTCGGGGTCGACCGCCCTCAGGCCACCAAGTTGTTTCAGTTTCCGCGCCCCCGAACCCAGCCCTGGAGATTCAAGTGTTCAGCTCGTCATCCAGACTGCCAATGTCACGTCTTGGCAATCCGACTCGGGAGGCGGCCTCAGAGCTTGGCTCCCCAAGTGTGGTGCACATGTTCTCTTGGTCCAAAAGCACCACTTGTTGGAGTCTGAGCTGGAGGAGGCTACTGGCTGGG